ACTGTTCTTATTTACACAAATAGTTACATTATTCATTGAATTACTGTTTTTGGCCCTTTAGTACAATAAATTATGCATTTTTTGTGATTCATATTAATAAAATAAAAAATATATATTTACACAAACAAACACCACTAGCACCACTTGGCGGTAAGATTGCGGTGTTGCCTTTTCAACTTCATGGCTTGTTAAATGTAGGAGGCTGTGACCGTACGGGATCGCACTGATGCTAACGTTGGCGCCAGTGCGGTCCCGGCCCTAGCCTATGTTGACATTTATTAGTGATAAATATGTGAACCTGTCAATATTTTGACTCATAAACACCATCATGGATACCAGTAGCACCAGTATTTTGTAAACTCTCCACACAAAAAGTCGCAAAAAAGTTCATCTTTCAACGCTCATATCTCAAAGACCGTAAAAACGTACAAGATTTGGTCCCATTTAAAGGTTGTTAGGAATTAAATGCTCTACTACATATCAAAAAATGGGTAAAATCCATACAGCGGAAGAATCCCATTTGAACTGTGCGTTATCCTTTGAGTCAATGGGGCCGTCCCGCTAAAGCTAAATTGAAAAGCAGACGAATGACAATAATCCATAACGACCTAAACCCTGAAAAATAGGCAACCACATAGACATACACTTTCCATTTTATTCAAAAAATCCACACTGAACTGACAGATTTAAATGGCGTTATCAACCCCCTAATTGGTTCATTTCTACACCTTTTTCAATTGTAATTCAGAAAATCAAAGTTTAATTTCAGAGAAGGGAACATGTATTTCAGAAAGGAACTTATAATTCAGAAAAGAGAAATTGAATTTGAGAATCGTAACTTTAATTTCAGAATAGGGAAAATGAAATTCAGATTAGGAAGTTGAAATTCAGAAAATCAAGATTGTAATTCAGAATAGTTAATTGAAATTCAGAAACTGTAAATTATAGTTTAGAAAAGGGAAATTGTATTTCAGAAGATGCAAATTGAATTTCAGATAATGGAATTTGTAATTCAGAGAAGTGAGAAGTATAATATGCACCTTACGATAAGCTATGTACAGAGCACAGGTACAGACAGTGGGAGAACCTGTCATATAATAACAGATAAGTGTAAATGACATCAAATTTTTACATTAATCAAATTTATCGATATTGTTCTTTGAATCTTAATACATAGAAGAAAAATTTATAAACAATGCAGGTGAAAGATAACTGTGCAATTTGTAGAATACCTATGACAAGAAACCCACTCGTTAAATTGTTGCTGTGCAGGCATCTTCTACATGCCAGATGTGCAGAGCCTTTAAGGGAACCAGCCTGTCCTATTTGCAGAAATGAGTATGAGGAAAAGGTAGAATTTGCTAGAACTATTTATAAAAAGAACTCAATTCAAGACCGACAGCGAATAACAGCATGTGCGAATAAAGGAGATGATTGGGTAGCTCTACATAGCTCAAACTTTGGGTGTGAAATATAAAACTGCATTTCAGTGGGTTCGATCGGGAAGAGATAGTATGCTTAAAAAGGGTGGAAGCAAACCTAAAGTTTTAACCGATGAACAAATAGATTTGTTGATTTCATGGGTTGAAGAAACCTGTGATATAACAATTAAACAATTACAAGCCAAGGTACAGGCAGAATTTAATAAGCCTATCTCCAACACAACCATTGTAAATTATTTGAAACAAGTTCATACAGAACCAGTCTCTATGAACAGTCCGGAAAACAAAATTAAACGTGCTGAATATGTGCGATCACTTAATAATTTTATCCGTCAAGGCAAACAAATTGTTTGGGTCGACGAGACAAACTTCAACCTATTTTGTCGACGATCTCGAGGACGTTCCAAAGCTGGGTGTCGCGCAGTTCAACAACTTCCGTCAGCTCGAGGTCCAAATGTACATGTAATTGGTGCTATTTCTGCTGCTGGTGTAGTAGCAATGGAAAGGAGAAGAGGATCCTTCATGGCGCTCTTAGCAAATGAGTGGATCCAGAGGCTAATGAGGACATGGGAAGAATTGGGCAATCGCCTTTCTGACGTCATTGTGTGTGATAACGCTCCCTGTCACTCTAGGCTAGAGGTTGTTATTAATGTGACAGAAGCCACTTTGCTAAGATTAGGTCCGTATTCGCCAATGCTGAACCCAATAGAAACAATTTGGTCAAAATTGGAAATGGGGGTCAAAACCAATCTTAGAGTCCCTGAGATAGCGGCTCCAGGTGTTCAAGAACAGAGATTACAATATTTAGAGGAAATTATAGACATTAGTAAAGATACAATTATGGGGGGCGACTGCGCACGTGCAGCCCAACATTCAACCACCTTCCATGCCGCGGCGCTAGCATTGGAGGATATGCCAGTTGGTCAGTGACTGAAATTTTGAATTGCATTTAGAAATTAGGTTATCAACTTACTGCTTGGTAATTTTTTTAGAAGTATATTAATTTTTAACATTTTTTATAAAAATGTAATTATGTGTTTAAGGTATACTTAGGTATACCTTTATACCTACTTTACTGAATAAAAACTTTGCATGAATACGATTTTTTTTATCTGGATTCGCAAAAAACTTTTTGATGTAAAACTCGACTGACGATAAATTAATAAACGGAGATAGCACTCCCGAGTTTAGCGAAACAAGTTTGAAAATTGAAAAAAAAAAAACACACTTAGATATTTCATGATTCCGAATTACATGTTACTATTTCTGAATTACATTTTCCTATTTCCTATTTTCAAAATTGCATAGGTATCTGAATAACAATTTACATTTTCTGGAATTAAATTTCCCCTTTCTGAATTCCATATTCCTTTTCTGAATTACAAATTCCCATTTCTGAATATTATGTTCCTTTTCTGAATTTCCAATTCCATATTCTGAATAATAACTTCCTATTCTGAATAACAGTTTCCATTTTCTGAAATTTAATTTCCCTTTCTCAAATACATTTTCCGCTTTCTGAATTACATTTGGAAAAGGTGTAGTTCTAGCGACAGATTGGGAGACAATAATACTATTGGTCAGAGTCTTGTGACGTCACGTGACGCGCGTTTTGAAAATACTCGTTTTATCGGTTAATTCAATTTTTTTTTCTAATCCAATAACGAATGTTCGATCAAATTATCACTACATACATTTCATATTGTATTTAGGCATTTTAAAAACCCAATAAAAAAGAAAGGCAAGACAGCCAAGGGACAGCCCCATTCTTTGCAGACGAATTTGAAAAAAAACAACACAGAACCTGATTGATTTCAATGTCATTAATGCTCAACCCATATAGACCCTGAGATAGGGCCTGTTTAGTGGAGTCATTTTTTTTTGTCTGGCATTTTGAGGGATGAATGTGACTAGTTAGCTGATGAGAATACAAGTGGTTTTAATGCCTGCCTCCTGTTCGAAATGTCCACAGAATGTTTCGCCGGAAAACTCGATTTCGAACTGTGATTACCGTCTGGCGATTTTTCAGCGTTATTTTCATAACAAAACCTTTCATTCTCTCGATTGCCAGACAAAAAGTAAACGCGGAAGGTTCTTCTCTTTTCTCTTGGAAGTTGACACCCATCCCCATTTTTTCAGCTATTGAAAAGCATCTGATATTTTTCATGTGTGAATTATTTATCAATGTCAATCTTTTATTTTAAAGCTAGAAAATTTGAGATCATTAAAAAAAAAATCTTCATGTAAATCAATTTTTTTCTTCTGCAAATTTTCGAACGGGAGGCCGGCATTAAAATCACTTATGTTCTCATCAGCTTAGAAGCCACATTCAGCCCTCAAAATGCCAGACAAAAAAAAAATGACTCCACTAAACAGCCCCTATCTCACAGTCTAATAGAGCCCAACCATATTTTGATATTTATTGTCAATTGTGACATTTTTGATGTCCCATTATAACCCCTGCTTTTCATTATTTTTAGGGTAAGCGCGCACTAGCGATTTGTTGTCGTGCGATAATTTTGTCGCAGTCGCGTCGCCGTGAAATAGGACTGGTTCTATTTTTTATCCGCAGCGATTATTTTGTCGCATAAAGGCCCATTTATAAACTTGACGTTGCGATTCCGTTACCGTTTGCGCCTGCCGTCGTGAACATAAAAATATAGGATTCCATAAGATCATTTATATTCGCCGTCGGCCTCACTGTCCGCCGTTAGCTCTGCCGTTTCATTCCGTCAGACATAAACCAATTTTATCTTTTCCGTTGCCGACGTCTGTAGCAAGTCGTGCTACAGTTTAGAGAGCCAATCAAAACGGATTTTCACCAGTCATGTGATGTTTACCACAAATGTCATCCTGCTGAGGTGGGAGAGGGGAGAGATTATTTTGATTTTTCGAATTTTAAATTTTGTTTGGGTTCATGTTAATTATTATCAAATCAGTAAAATCACCACCAAATCTTCTAAAATCGTCCAAATCACTCTCAAAATGACAAAATAAGGGCAAACGCACAAAAGAGGTTATGTTTATTATTTACTTTTTGAGAACGTCGGATGGCAAGTTTATAAATGGTCCAATTTTTGTGGCTCGGACGGCGGGGTTAACGGCGAGCCCGTCTGTAGGCGCAAACGGTAACGGAATCGCAACGTCAAGTTTATAAATGGGCCTTAATGCGTGTATATTCGTTAAAATATTAATGTTCCATTTTAGCGACTAGACAGTAGCGCGATAAATAGCTTGTGCACGCTTGCCCTTAGACAAGTTTGATCTTGATCACTCAAACAAATAAGAATGAAGTAACGATTTGCCACAGGAAAATATCCGAGAAAATAAAACCCTTTTTCAAATCTTACTTAGTGTTAGTATATCTATTTATACTTATTCACTAAAATATATAAAGAAAAAAAAAAACAAATATTTGGAAAAAGGTTCAGAAGGCCACCACTTCCCCGGTCTCCCCCACCCCAATTCATACAGGTTCTGGGAATCCCCTTTTTACAATTATAAAATTTAGCGTAGGCGAGGCCCGTGAAAACTATTATTTTATTATAGTTATTCTCATGCGGTCGAGCCAGCACGTAATAAAAACCGATCCAATTACAATTGAAGTTTTTACGGTGTTGATAAGAAAACAATAGAGAGTGAGTTCTGTTGTGAGTACTTAATGCTATTTATTTTTGCGCATTGTGGTGTTATTTATTCTATTTGTCTTTGCAGTACCTATAATAAGCGTTGATTTACAAAATGCCTAAAGGAAAGATAAAATCAACGCAGATCAGTGTTGAACCAGGGAAAATGAAACAGAACGAAAAGACAAAAAGTCAAGTTAAAAACAAAAATGGACAGAAAACTGGAGGTGAGTGTCAACTTATAACTGCTAGATAAATCATTTGCTAGGTTTTATAATAATTATAAATAATAATAAATTCGTTTATTGCCAATAAAACATATTTACATGTTGTAGGAAATGTTGATAGGTAAATACTACCTATTTCAAGAAATTTTGTTAATTATACCAAAATAAAAAATATTGAACATCAAACAGGTAGGTCTCAGCAATAACAAAATTTAAAATATTAGGGTATCCCAATAATAGCATACAGTGGCGGCTCGTCAGAGGAGGCAGTAAAAATGCTACAAAATGTATTTTTAGGTATACCTATAATTTTAACCCCCCTAAAAAAAATTCGTTTCTTTTTCTTTTTTTTTTGGCTACCTCCCTCAAAATAGAAGTCACGGGCCGCCGCCCGCCACTGAGCATTAAGTAGGTACACAAAATAGGCATAAAAAAGTGATTTTTATGACATTACGTTCTAACAAATCATTGAGTTAAGTCCATTTACAACAGTGTTCAAATGTGCAAGCTTTATTTGAACTGCGTGTAGAAAAAGTATCATATTATCCAACATTCGAATCAAATCGATCAAAATCATCGACTGCGTATTGCCATATTATGGCAAGGCTGTAGGTGCCGTAGGTTGGTTCGTCTTTATGCCACCTTAACACGTTCACACCGCTATTATGAAATTTGACGATGCTTTAAACCAACCGAGTTTTTTTGGCTAGCATAACTTCTGGCAGATATAATATATTTTTTACAGGTTACATGTCTTTTGTTATATATTTTTTGTATTTACATTTAATGTCACATATATGTGACATCGGCTTCCGATAAGTTTTCTATTGAAAGTTATCACTTAACACAATGGAAAACCGTGCGACACACATGTGTGACATAAACAGTTAGCTGTTCTAGATTCTCGGCTACGCTGTCTAGGCGATAATTACGCATTACTTCAAACGGAGGTCTTATCAGGTCTTCTATGTGTCTGCCGGTAGTTCCGGGTTGCATCTAAACATTCCGGTATAGGATTCGGCACCTAGGCATATTTCATTGGTCCGTTTGAATTCGGACCGCCAATTGATGCGGAGTGCCGAAATCGGTACTTGAATGTTGAACGGTGGTGAGCCTCAGGTCAGAATGGTCCACTAGCAACAGCCATGTGGAGTGCCGAATCTAAGGTCAAAATGTTAAACAGTGATGAGTATCAGGTCCGAATGTTGCCATGCGTTTGGCGCGGTTTTTATATTAAATCAGCTGTCCTCTTCGTTCGTGTTCCTCTTAGCTACAAATTTGCGGCGAATGCGGTTTATTTCGCCGTTGCTTCATGAGTTTGCCTGGATCATTCAAACACTTTCAATGTGGTGAGCAAATTTACCGAGCCAACATTTTGGAGGAAAACGATATAAAGCAATGGATAGAAGAGTATAGTGATATAACATACACGAATTGGAATGTGAAGTCAGCGAAGAATAATTAGGTAAACCAGATTCAAATGCAGGTTTGTGTTCAATGTCAATTCAATGACGTAGAATCTTCTTGGATGCGAATAGACTTTGGAAAATACATTTTTTAGATATGTTTTTGTATGCCATCATAGTGCTTATAAAAAAGTGGATCAAGGAAATAATAAGACAGGAAAATCCAAAAACTGCTGTTGCCTGGCTTCAATTGATATTTTAATTGAACTAAGCACCAAAGACCAAAAAAAAAAAAATATATTAGGGTATTTATTTTCAAAATTTTCTACTCTAATTTGCCAGGTTTCAGGTTTTTATAATCCCCCCCTCTGGGTCTTCCACTACTGCAAATTATTGTCCAAGATTTTTTGAAATGTATCGTTGAAATAAAATAAATATGTACCAAAAAGTAAATAAAGTTTGTTTATTCATTTTGTGCCGCGCTAACGGAGTAACATTCCAACCTGCAGCTGGGCACTGTTAAACATTTTGACATTTGATTCGGCACTCCACATAGTATAGTAAATGTATGTACCATTCCGACCTCAGGCTCAGCACCGTTCAACATTCAAGTACGGATTTCGGCACTCCGCATCAATTGGCGGTCCGAATTCAAACGGACCAATGAAATATGCCTAGGTGCCGAATCCTATACCGGAATGTTTAGATGCTTCCGGGTTGGCCTGCGCGTCTCTTTCATCTTCCATTTTGTTGACTAGTATGCATTGTGTGAATTTGCGAACTTCGTTCCAATTTTGCTGGTTTATCAGCATTACCTCCAGTATGTTTTCAGGGGTTATTTTTCTGTCGACATTTCTGGAGCATTCTTCTCTCTGTTCCCTCCATCTCCTAAGTACAGTGGAAGAAGGTGTGCTCGGCATTGTCAAGCTCTCCACAGTACAGGCATTCGTCATCGCCCGATTTATTTATGTTGTACGTGTAATGTCTGTAACAACCATGACCAGACAGGAGTTGGGTCAGGTAAAAGTCGGTCTCACCGTGCTTCCTGCTTAGTCAGGGCGATATCTCTGGTATCAGTCTAGCGGTCCATCTCCCTTTGCTGCTACCACTCCACCTCTGTTGCCATTCCTGGATGAGAAGTTCCCTGTTTGCTCTGCTCGCTACGTTTTTCCCTGGCTCGTCAATCAATGACAGAACAGTCGACTCTGCGATGATTAGGTCGATAGCGGGGAGTTGAGCTATCGCTAATGCGGATCGCTGCCTGCCTTTGTTGTTTCTCATAGACGTTAAGTAGCGTTTTTTTTGGAGAGCTGAGCCCCACGCAGGCGAGGAGTACGTCAGAATTGATCTGCCGAGGGAGCAGATAAGTCTTCGCTTGCTGGTTGACGGACCTCCGATGTTAGGCATCAGCCTGCTCAGTGCCGTCATGGTATTACTTGCTCTGGTAGCCGTTTTGTGTATGTGTGTCCCGAACTTCAGCTTCGGGTCCAGCCATACCCCGAGATATTTAATTTAACTTTTCGTAGTGTGTTCCCTGCCGCAGAAGCTGAGTGTTAACTCAGGTGTATGTCTTTTGCCTGAGATCAACAGAATTTCCGTTTTTTCGGGGTGATTTTTGCGTAGCTATTCTTCGATCAGCATGGCGGTTTCTGTCTTCAACCGTATACCGTCTGGGTCTCTTGCCATTATTACATTATTATCAGGGCTATGTCACCAGCGTAGCCAATGAGGGTTACTTCTTTTGGTTGGTCCAACCTCAGCAGACCGTCATAAAGGAGGTTCCACAAAGTTGGTCCCAGGACCGAGCCCTGCGTCACCCCGCACGTCATGTTTACCGATTCTGTTTCGCCTTCCGCTTCGATGATTATTTCCCTTTGGGTGAGGTAATTTTCGACTAGTCTCACTAGGTATGGGGGAGCGCCTCCTGATGATCTCTCCAATGATTTCGGGCCATGGTGCTGAATTGAAGACATTCCTAATGTCTAAGGCTATTATGATGCCAAGTCTTCTATGTCTGTGTGATTTTTTGTATATAGCATCTTTGGTGATGGAAAGAAACTTTTGGATTGCCATAGTGGTGGACCTGCCTCGTCTAAAGCCGAATTGCCTGTCTGATATGTTTTCTGTTAGGTTTAGGTCGACCATCAACCTTGATAGGATAATGTGCTCTACCCAAGCAGCAAGGGGTAGTTGAATCAACGTTGATTAAAGATTGATCGATGTCGTAGGCGTTGATATACCAAAAATCAACGTTAAATGGCCATTATGAAAACAACGTATTCGTCAACGTATTCTTAGCAAATTCTATTCAACGTTGAATATAAGTTGCAGGAGACATTGCAATTTTGAAAAAATAATTCGAACCCATTGGTACCAAAGTATTTATCAAATCTAGACTAGGTATATTAGCAACTTTGAATAGTTATGACACTGTTTTTTTTCTGTTTGATTTAGCCCATCACTAGATGTTGAATAAACGTTGAATGGAGGTTTAAAATGTTTTTTGAAATAAATATAGGTACGTTATTAGTAAAATTTAAGATATCAATAAAAAAACAGATATTTATTATTATATATCTTAATGGATGCAGGTGTAATGTTTAGAGTTCCAACATTCGACATGAAATAATATTACATAATTTGCTTAAAAGTAGATAAAGTGGTATCTCCATGCAAATTAATTCAAACTTCCCGCTAAGGTACATCGCGTCCCGCCATTTGTCGCGAGCGCCCTCTGCGCCCAGCCCATCGGCCATCATTGCATTGGCATCTGGCCGCTGGCGTCATCACGTTTATCGCGTCATCCTTCCTATTCACTCGGGTTTTTGTTAATTTTGTGTAAATTTAAAATTATTGAAGGTGTAAAATGTGTTATTATTTTTATTTTCAACCACATATGTAATGTTGACATTGCAGGTTTTTCAAAATCTTGAAAGTGTCACATTTCTGGACTTTGACATTTATCGGGACGGTAATGCATATGCCTGCCTAGGACGGAAAAGCATTTTCCGTCCGGGACGGCAAATGCTTTTCCGTCCCCATTTCCCTGCTCGTTCCAAATTGATAATTTTCATACAGCTCTCACATATAATAATAAAACCACATGTATTACATGGAACTAATTAAATCTATTCACTTATTTACATTAATTGTTAAATTAGCATTGTTGTTTATAATGGAAATCTTGAGACCATCCTGTTGGAATTGTGTTTCGTTTGGAACTATTATCTCTTGCGCTTGCGGATGAGTTTCCGCATGTGATGTACTTGTGGATGCACTGGACAACTGAATACCTTTGGAAGTAGAGGATAGCATCAGAGCAGTCTTACTTTTGTTCTCCAAAGATGCCTCTATGTAGCCTTCAGCAACCGTGCTCGATTTCCACCCTCCCAGTCTTTTGAGTTGCAATAGATCGGCCCCGTTGTCAACCAATAAGGTTGCGGAAGTACGACGAAAAGCATGCCCTGTAAAAGTTTCAATTTTTGGAAGCTTCAAAAAAGCAGCTATTTTATGTGGAAATTTTGAGATTGAATGATAGCCAATTGCTTGGTTATGTAATTTCCCATTTCGCCATTGAACAAATAACCTGTCATT